TCTTATTTAAAATCTTTACTTCAAGGATTCAAAAAGAAAAAATTTAGAATTAATAGAATTCTATGTAATAGGGCCCAAATAATTTTACTGAAAATCTTTATTCGAATCAGGAAAGGATCCAATAAGAGAAGGCTTCAAGGATTTAAAAAGAAAAAGTTTAGAATTAATAGGATTCTACTTAATAGGGTCCAAATAATTTTACTGAAAATCTTTACTTGAATCGAGAAAGCGTCCAATAAGAGAAGGCTTCAAGGATTCAAAAAGAAAAAGTTTAGAATTAATAGGATTCTATGTAATAGGACCCAAACAATTTTATTTTCTCACTTAAAATCTTTATTCGAATCGAGAAAGGATTCAATAAAAGAAGACTTCAAGGTTTCAAAAAGAAAAAGTTGAAAATTAATAGAATTCTACGTAACAGGGCCCAAACAATTTTACTGAAAATACTCGAATCGAAAAAAGATCCAAGAAATATCCAAAAAAATCCAAGAAAATAAGAAAATAAGAGAAGAATACAAAATTTCCACGACAGCTTTTATTTTATACCCACCTATCCGTTCAACGCACTCATTGTTTCTTCAACAAAAGTTTCTCCACCGCCCATTCAACCCATCCATACTCGCTAAAATAAATTGGCGGAACCGAACAATGCCCTAATATTTCTTCTTTCCATCCAGAAACGCGCGCACGCACACCCTCGGACAGGTTTAATTCAAGTTAATTGATGTATCATAGTTGCTGTCATCTGGCGGATGATTTATGATTCCTGTACCTCTGTTTTTTCCTCTTCCCCTCTCCCATACAGGCATAGACGTTGATGAAAACAGCCAGACTCCCCCCCCTCCTGCGTATAAGTCGTAAATGGCCTCACTTTTCCCCGGGTAACAAAACGCCCCCGACGTTTGAAATATGGCCACCACCTTATTAAAGTGGCTGAATCTGACTCTACCCCGTCCCCTCCCCCTCCATCGTATCATCATCAATGTGACCAAGCGTTCGTTATCGCTTTCGCATGCGGGAACATTGCCGGCAGTATTGCGCAAGGCCTCTCTCCGTAATAAATGGCAGAAACGTGAGAATTGTCTGGTAAAAAAGGGTGGAAAGTTGCTCTCGATGTAAACGAAAGGCGAGTCTTTAAGAGGCAAAAAGGAAAGGAGAAAGGAAAAAGGAAAAAGTTTCGACGGGTTTCTTGGAAAAGTTTGATAACTACGCTCGACTTTACGCGAATAATTCGAAATGGATGGGGAAGAACGCGATGGCGTTTCGTTCTCGTCCTCCTTCGTTCTCCCAGTGGTCGAGGAACGTGATGGATCGGACCAGTGGTGTCGGCTCGATCGTCTATACCTAGTGTAACTAACGAGCGAAAGTTGATCGCTTTATTATTTTTTTTGATCTCGAATTCGTCGAGTGGAGGATCTTTTCGAGTTTATCAGGAAGTTGACGTGTTTATGGTAATCGATGCATTAGTTGGACGTTAAACTCATAGAATCGTTCAATTCTCGATATTTTCTTTGTAATCGATTCTTGAGTTATTATGATTAAGTTATTGGGATTATATATTATTACAGGTTGATTATTAATCGATTAAAGATTTCGCTATATGTTTTTCAATTATTGTTTTTGGGATGAAGAAAAAGATGATCAAATAAACATTGTGTATTTTATTTCAAAGATACATGAAAAATTGTGTTGCTTCTTTTTTTCTATAATATTGACTTATAATATCTTTATACTAGTTGAAGTGAATAAGCTGTCATATATTCAATAAAAAAAAAGAAAAAAATAGGAAAAATTTTTTATTGCAATGACACTTTATATTAGACACTGTATATTCCTTATTAAGATAATTAACTTGTATTTGTATATGGTATATTTTTGCGAGATATAATAGAAAATTTATGAAAATACAGATATGAATACCACGCGAAAGATACGTGAGATATTTAAAATTTTTTTTATCATCCTCTCTGCCGCTACTACGAAACAAGAGATTTCTATTTTACGACTTTTGGGACGATGGTTTTACGAGTCTTTCAGAAATCATAAACACTTTTACAAAAGTTTTATCACCGCGTTTTAAAGAAGCTTTTCATTCTTCCAACAATTATTTCCCAGCTTTTATTTTAAATAGACTATTAAAATTCAAAACGAACGATGCCATTAATTTTTAGTTTCAGTTAGCGTACAATAAAATTTTCTTCTCCTTTGTTCCCATTTTATTACGACAATTAAGTAATAAACTGTGAAAAAAGCGTTAAATGTGTAATATCGAGTCAATCTTATGCATACGTATTTCTTAATCATAATACAGAAAATTAATTTAACATTGCGACGATCGAACGAAGTCTTTCGAGTATAATTTTCATCGTTAAGATGAAATTAGAAGAAGAAAAATATAATAATTAAAAGATTCCAAAAAACTTAAAAAATAAAATAAACAAAAAGTCATCTAGTAGTTAACAGTCGCGTGGCGCTAGTGTCGCACTATCTTAATTAACCACGGTCACCTACTAACCCAAAATATCATATCGATAATCCTAGTTGGCAAGATTTCCCTCTGCAAACAGGTTGAAGATAAGGATCGACAAGAAACGGGTAACTTAGTCAGCACATCGAGCAGTGGAAGCAGTCTAATCGACTCCCTCTGTGAAAGGGCCGTGTGTATAAAGTGGCTCGTGTCGTCGTAGCGACGAGCATTGAATGAAGGAATGGCGAAAATGGGTGGAAAAATAAGAAAATGGATCGAAGAATCGGCGAGTGCAGGCGGTGGAATATTGAAGATCGTAAGCGTGATATAAGATGGAAATATTACGGTCGTGGGAGGAGGAGGTGTGGTGCTTTGTGAAAACTGAAAAAGTTGAAACACGTTCGAAAGTTTGAAATTTCGTTTGGAAACCAACACGATTTCTTTAGTTAAACTTTCTTCCTTGTGGAGAACATTGGAAATTTTCGACCGACAATGCGAATTTCACCGCACTTTCCACAACAGCTTTCTTTTTCTTCACCTGTTTCCTCCCCCTCCCTCCTCCCTTTGAAAGATGACTCCGTGAAGAAATCCGGGGGAAAAGAAGTTTGAAATTATGTAACTCGTTGAATTAGCAGGGATCAACTCGCGAGAAATAAACTTGCTCTTATTCCTCTTCAGAGAAAATTTTGAAAATTTGTTTTTTTCCTCCTCTTTTTCGGAGGAGATATTGGATCTGCAAGAAATTAACTTCGATTTTCGATTATCATCTTTAAAATCTATTTTAAATCTGTAGATGTAAAAGTAAACTTTTTTTTTAAACAAAATAAAATCCATCGTGATTAAAATTTTCTAAGATTCGAATAATGATGTTTGAAGAAATTTGAAGAATTCTTTGCAATAGTTTCACTCGTATTCAAATTAGCTCAAAATTGAAAAAAAATATATATAGTTAGTTGTTGCAAAAAAATATCTATTCATATATTTGGATTCATATTTTACAAAAGAAACTATTTTTCCATTAATAATATGTCTCTTAAGTCATATACTTTGTTATTATCTCAAAATTCCTTAAATAATCTTTATTTGTTAGATGATGACAATATTTTTGGCTGTTATTAATTTAAAAAAAGTTTATTCAATATTTTATATTCTATCACATAATAGAAAATTTTATCGATATCATTTTTTGGTCCCCATTTTTAATTAAAATCTCCAGATTCAACTGGATTCTGGCAATTCAACTGGATATTCCAGATTCTAAAATGACAATTCTGGTCACGATATGTCGGTCGATATTTTAAAACTGGAATAAGCTGTAATAATAACATACAACTTGTCATTAATATCACTTGCACTTGCTGCGACAATGGCATAATTAAAAAATTATAATAATAGAAGAAACGATCTTGATTAATTCAAATTGTTATGAGTGGACTGCGGATGCATTTATGCAAAAAAGGAAAAAAATATTGAAAATATATAGTACGCATTATTTACATGATTTTCTTGAAGAATAATTTCATGTTTATAAAAATTTATTTATTTAATACTTTCTTTCATAAATATCCCCAATCTAATTACATTACATACAGTTTCAAATTGAAAGCTTATTATATCAAACTGTTAAATTGAGAGCTTATAAGATTTTACTAGCAAAAAATATAAACAAAAATAGTTTTTTTAGCTCAATGCAATTGAGCTATGTTATTTTTATGTTATGTTATTTTTCTAAATAAATGATAAAATGAATCAGAAAACATAAAACAGAAGTGTATTATTAAATAGTCAATCGAAAAAAGTCATCAACTAACTTGTAATCAAATTTTATCTATGTCGTCTAATGAATCGACTGTGAATTATATAACGATTTTCTATTACTTGTACATTGAAGAGAAAATCGAGAAGTTGAATAATGTGTTATATAATTGGATTTATTCAAAATGATTTTGGCATATTTCATAAAAAAATATATGTGAAAAAGGAAATAATTTGATATCAATTTTTGATACATGTGTTGTTATTTCATTCCACAACGATGATTCAATTGTTAATCTATATAAAATAGAATGCATGAAAACAAGAAATCAATTGGACAAAATCAAATGGAATTTTTTTTGAAACAAAAGTTATTCGATGAACTTTTAACTTTTGCTTTTCTGTTTTTAATTCATGTTTTAACACATCAATCCTGTTGCTGAAAAAGTTTGTATTTAACAGATATTCTATATTAATAAAACAATTTTATCAATAGGTCTGAACAATTTTAATTTCAAGCTTTCAATATATTTACCTCATAATGAGAAATCTAATAGTTTTTAATTTTTTTTAATAAAAGTAAACGTTCCTGTTCAATTTTTAAGAAAATAAGTTTCCTATTCATATATAATATAGAATAAAATGTTTAATAATTGTCTTCTTGAAAAAAAAAAGACAATAATCAAGAAATTACTTTTGTTCTAGATAGAACATAACTAGATACTATAAATATTCAAACAGAAATTTGAAGAATATAAAAACCATAAAATATCTAAAATTCAATTAATAGAACAAATATCCATTTAATTTCCATCCCTTTATAAAAATTTCACTATAAACAATCACGGTTTGTGATTAAACAAAAATGTGTCAACAATTTCCCATTCGATTCCTGTTTTAAAACTAAAATATAAAATATTCAAAAGATTTTTGAAAAACGTTTGAAACGAATTTATCACGGAATCGATATGTACAAGGTATACTGTATAAAAGGTTCGATTTCCAGCAAGAATGTATCGGCGATAATACGATTTTCTCGTCCACATGACGTTTCTCTGGCCGCTTTAAAATCGGACTTACCCTCGAAGAATATCAAGGAAGGCGATGGTTGGCCCGGCTCGTGTCCATTTTCCTTTTCACGCCAGCTTTCGAGCTATCGAGCAGACGTTGTTATAAGCGCTAAAGAAAACCGATTGCTATACTAGAATCTCAAGAAAAAAATGGAATCTTTACAGTGGCGATGGTTTTCAAACAATATCTCGATTCTTAACGATTAAAAGAATCAAAAGAATCAAAAGAAATCGAAGAATTATTTGTTTCCATGTTGCATGAATATTATATTTTTTTCGTATGCTATATCGATCTATAACTATGATTTCCTGGCTAACAAAAGGAATCAAGAATCGTAAACGATATACTTATATTGTTTCTTTATGATCGAGTATATCAAAAGAAATTAGTATTGATACATTTGCAGTTCATTTCTATCACTATTTTCAAGGTACCATTTTTCGATTTTTATAAAGAACGTCCTCAAAATTCAACTGGTGATTCCTGAGGCGATTTCAAGCAACTTTTTCCTTCGTGAAAAGTTTCGTTTTTCCCTTCTTAACGAGTTATTAACGAAAAATATTTTGTCGAGTCGCGAAGGTAGTGTTGGGTATGCACCGCCAACGAATCGTCAAGCTCGAACAAACAAATATGAAATAACATATCTCGAAACTAATTATTTTATTCATTGCTCGAATAAAGAAATATAATTCCACGTAACTTTTATTCGATAATTCTTCAGCACACTTATTTGTCTACCGATTTCTGGCACATTCATTCACAATTTTACCATTGTAATATCTTTATAACTATATCATAAATATATATATAAATTCATCATTCGAATAATTATCAATTACAGAAATTGTTTGAAAACGAACGAAAGGGAGGCTATATCGGGCCCATCGCTATCTCTACGTCCCTCCATTTTCTCCATCCGACACAATTCCAATTCCAAGGAAACTTATCCTGCCGAGAATACCGAGAACCTCTGCTCGTAAATAGCCAGTGATCCGAATCCGTGCGCGATCTCACGGTCTGGCAAGCCGATCTTTAATTCTTTCCTTCGTACGATGCATTCGATTCTTCGAGTATAAATAGCGTGAAATCCGGCATGGTCTTCGCTATTCTCCCTTGTACGGTCGTTCGTAAATTTTTCTAGATCCCTCACGACGTCGATACGATATTATTCTCGTGTTTGTTTTTCGCGCGCTGTAAACCGAGTACGAAGCAATGGTCGAGGAGGAAGCGTTCGAATAGATGGCCAGCATAAGATATTTGTATCGATCGTTGCAATTCTGGTTTTTTGACATTTTAATTCGATTTACAAAGATTCTTTTTTTTTTTTTTTTGATTGGAAAAATTAATTTAATCGATTATCGTTAAATTAACATTGCATTCGAAATTATTTTTACTGTATCTATAAAATTTTATGAAATTTTTCGGATTGCATGCATTATCAATATCGTTGAAATTTGTTGACATATTGTTGTAACAGTTGGAATAAAAATATTTTTCACCATCAGTGAATATTCCAATTATTGATTCATTTATTTCAATCAATAAGCTATTTGCTTTTCTTTTTTCTGGTCCCTGATTAAATTTTTCCGTGTGTATCTCTTCTTATGATTTTCCTCACAGAATTACAATTCCCTTGTCCAATCAACGATATTGATAATGTATGTAATCCGAAAAATTTTATAAAATTTTATAAATAAGATAAAAATAATTTCGAACGTAATGTTAATTTCGTTAAACAAATTCCTCAACAATAATCGATTAAATTAATTTTTCTAATCAAAAAAAAAAAAAAAATTTCGAACGGAATTTTAATTTCGGTAAACAAATTCCCCAACAAAAATCGATTAAATTAATTTTTCTAATTAAAAACAAAAAAAAAAAAAAATTTCGAACGGAATTTTAATTTCGGTAAACAAATTCCCCAACAAAAATCGATTAAATTAATTTTTCTAATCAAAAAAAAAAAAAAAAGAATCTTCGTAAATCGAATTAAAAATATTATTTCCAAAAATATGTGAATCGAGGTGAAATCGATACAAGTATATTTATTTCTCCTCAAACGTCCTTAAACTTCTGAATTTCTCATCGATACAGGCCGATTACCCCTCCCCTCTTCCCCTCGTTTGTTGTTCACGCTTGTTTTCCGCGCGATCGAACCAAGTCGAAAGATATGTTCTTCGGTCTCTTCGGTTCGGTTCGGTGGCCGACACGGGGAGGGGGTTTCGATTTACCGAATCTCATCCCCACCCACGAACGTGGCAAATGGACTCTGGACGCGAGTTTATCCACCGGTTCAACCCGGATAACGACAGGAGACCGAGCCTCGCCGAGATACGAGGATGGACGCGGGTCTAATTACGACACGATTTTAAAAGATCTTTACTTTGCACTCTCGTTCCACTTGCCTCGACGGATGATGACTTCCTTCTGATTTAATTATTACGATGAGATTGAGTTTAATTTGCGAATTTTTAATTCGAATCGTTAATTTATGGATGTTTTGTTATTAAATAATTGTGGTTAATCTGCGAATATTGAAAATTGAATTATTAAATATTATGAAAATTAATATTTGAAAGACAAAAATATTAATTTTTAAATGAGTGGAAAATTTTTAAGTATGCGTATATTTATAAAATTTCGAAATTCGAGCAATTTGTTTGATTTTATTGGAAATACTTTTGAATTGTGAGATTATATAATTATATAATTATTGAAAGATTGGAAATTTTTTCGTTGAATTTTTGTGAAAAATTTAGAAGAATTTTATTTTTTTATTTTTAATAATTATTACGAAAGTTAGTATTTCAAATAGAGACAAAAATATTAATTTTGAATGGAAAATCTTTAGTATATATATTTCTAAAATTTCGAGCAATTAAAAGTATTTTTTTGATTTCAAATTCAAGTCTACAAATTCTATTTAAAAATACTTTTTTCTTTTTCTTCAAATATGAAAAATCTAATCTATCGATATTCGAATTAATTTAATTTTATTCTTGTCATTTTCATTTGATAAAATACTCGATACATTTACAAAAGAAATTCAGATTATTTTGTGTGGATTATTCGTGAAAATTTTTCATCTGTCAAATTTTCTTATAGTATTTTAATCGTTTTCGAAATTTTGTTTCGTGAAAATTACATTTTCGGAATATTCGTTCGTGGATGGAGATTGTGTTAAGCTATTAAAATATTGTTTACAACAATATTGTATTTGGCATTATACGTTAATTTTAAAAGTGAAAAGCGTCAATGCGTAGACCGAAAACAGTTTTGAAGTTGGAAAATTAATTGGAACAATAATTCCTCGCTCAAAGTCAAATTTTGCATTTCAGAATTCTATTTTATAAAAATTTGTCACATCAACGATACATTTCGTTGAATCAGAAAAGGCATTTCATTTTAATGAAAAAAAAAAAAAAAAAAAAAA